GAGGCCTGATGCTATTATTGCTGAAGTTCCAGCTCAGGAGGCTCAGGAAGTTCCAGCTCAAGAAGAGACCCAGATTGATCAAGATCAAGATCAACATAGTCTTTGTCTTTCTGCAGCCCTTTCACAAGTCGTGGAAGACTATTTTGATGCTTCTCTTTCGCTTGAGGAACGTGTGCAGTTTGTTCTCGAGCATGACCTCATCAACAACTTCCGTGAATGGTTTCTTAATAGGCATGGTCTGCATGGTCGCGAGCCTTTTTCAGAAAAGAACGATATAGAGATGGATCTTGACCTCTTCAAAGAATGGCACAAGGAGTACAAACGGGAGCTCAAAGAATACGGAATGATTGTGAAAGAGTACATGGCTCAGGAGTGCTATCGTGACTTTGTCATGTGGAGTCATAGCGGCCCAGGTTCTCATTTGGACGAAGGTGACATGGAACTGTCGTATGAACAGATCATGGATGGTGATCCTCAAGCTGAAGTTGAATCTTGGCTAGCGTATTTGAAGGAGCATCCACTTGTGAAAGTTGCTCCAGGAGGTGCAACCGATCTCTACCTGAAACAACTTTCGCAGGCCATCCCAGACAATGTGCGTGATCACCCGATGATTGGTGAATTTGGAGCTCATGTTTTGGGCATGAAGGGGCGTGTGCTGTTCTCCTTGACCAAATATGTTCAAGATGATGTTGAAGAGTTCAACAAGTGGCTTCTTCAGAAGCATGAGATGAACGTGAAAGTGGAACCGGAATCAAGGCATCCACGAATCAAGCGGGAGATTCCAGAGCCTGAAGTCAACAGTCCACCCACAGCTATGAATCCGGATGTGATCAAGCAGGAGGTTCCAGAGCCTGAAGTCAACAGTCCACCCACAGCTATGAATATGGATGTGGAGGAAGAGGTGGAGGACCCCCCAGGCGAGGAGGAGGAAGATCACGGATATCCAAAACCACCGTCAACTTCGCATCCAAACATCAACAACGTCCTAGAATCAGCTGCGCAGGCAAAGGTTGTTTTTGGTTTGTTAAGCTTCTGGACTCTTGACTCTTGAATCTCTTGAATATGTGTTGGACTGTTGGACTATTGATATATATATATATTGAGGCTTAGTGTTTAGAGAGTCCAGAGTCTAGAGTGTACTGTAGAGAGTAGAGTTTCACTTCCCTGCAGATTATGTTGGAGCGGGCTGCACACCTCATCCCTGACTTGGAGAATCAAGTGAGGGCCTTTCCACGTGATTTCCACTTTGGCGACCTGTTTACAGGTGTTGGCACCTTTGAGAAAGTCACTGAAGTTCTGGTGTATGCCCTCCGCAAACGGTTTCCTCGAGCAATGAAGGGTCTTATTGCAACTTGTCCAGGAAAGGTACTGTGGGATGTTTGGTATTGCTGGTGCAGATTCATTTGTTTTTAAATTCAAAGAAAAATTGTAGTAGAGTATATTACAGTGTTACAGTAAAACATCAACCTGACTCACCAAGGCACATCACCTCTTCGCATGTGAAGTTGTTGGCTTCAAGCAGAAGTACCTCCTACAAGCCCTACCTTGTGACACATGCTTATTCCGTGATGCTACGAAATTGTTCACACCAGAGCGTATGTGCTTACGCCATGCCAGCAAGTGTGTTTCTTGGCTGCTCAATCTGCCCAAATACTATCTCTCTTTAGTAGCTTTTGCATTGAGTTTACCATGTACTTTTTTCCTCTGCGTTTACCTAGGAACTTCCAAAGAAGGTGTTTGGATTCAATGCTGGCTTTTCTTGCAAAAGCTTCTCCAAACTGAACACCCAATATGAGAAAATGCTGAGTGCGATGAAAGATGACAATACAGTACCTCAGTGGCACTTCAAATTTCAGACTTCAAACTTCAACTTTAAAACTTTAGACTTGATTTGCTCGTGTTCTTCTCGTATGTCAACAATCTTGATTGAAGCCCCCAATGGATTGAGGACTCTTCCTCAGTGCTCACGTTCAAAGCCACCTTGGCCCTCTTGAAGGAGGTTGAGGTATCCTTTTTTGTTCTTGAGAACGTGGATATGGATGAAGGCGGGAAAGGAGACCCAGAAAAGTCCAATCTTGCTCTCATATTGAAAGCACTGCAGAATGCATCGTCTAGTGGGTTCACAACTCACGCCTTTGTGTGCTTGTCCTCTGACTTTGGTCTTCCACAGCGACGAGAACGCTTGTATATCGTTGGAGCCAACAAGTCCATGTTCCCTTCGTTTGATGTACGGAAAGTACAACGGCTGTTGTCTAGCTTCAAGCTGCCGTGTCAGCCTCCAGACTCTTTGTTGTGATTCATGCGCCATGAACAGTTTTTAACTACTGCAATCTATTTTGGTTGTCAAATGGTGCCCCTATTGCTTACAAACTTCAAACTTCTGTGGTTTGCTGTGTTTCCATTCATTTAGGAAGACTTTCTGCGCGGCGATGATGATGAGACTGTGGTTGATGAACTGCAGCGACGGGAGGATGTCAGGGCTAAGGCCAAGACGGATGAAGCCCAAGCGCAGGGTAATTCAGAGGATGAACTTGAAGGGTGCACAAAGGTCAAAGCTCCAGGAAAATGGAAGGAAATGCATATGCAGATCGCGGAACAACGTTTCTTGACCTAGCTGATCTTATTGTACCTAGTTACTGTTTACTGAACTTGGACAGCGCTAACACTAACAAACCAAGGTCAAATGAAATGGCCACTTGAAGTTCCCGATCGTCTCAAGGATCATTCTTGGTTTGAATCGTTGCCACCCCGAGAGAGGGAAGCTCTTTGTCAAAGATTAGATTACTGAATTGAAGTTGAAGTCAACATTGAAGTTCACACTCATGTTTGCCCAAGGCGGTCCTGTTTCTCCTGAATGAAAACGCAACGAATTCCAGAACTGGCAAAGAACAGCTTCGGTTCGCAGATTTGTATCAGTCTTCCAGTCGGATGCCTTCAAGTCTGTCATTTGTGCCTTTGACGGATTAGAATCAGAATTATTTGAATGGAAGAGTGCAGCTAAACATAGCTATGCTAGAGACTCGAGACTAATTGTTTGTTGAAATTTTTAACAATTTTAACGTACAAGAAACATCTGCAGCTTTTGGTTTTGAGACGCTTCAGGAGGTTCCAACGATTTTGCCAAGCAGCCCCGTCTGGGATATGTCTCGAGAGAGACTGCTGGTTGGAAGCTTGGCTAGGTTATTCAGGTTCCAGCCCAACAATTGGATTCGATTCATTATACTAACTCACCTCACTATTTGCATATACTATAGTAATATATATATGTTAATATAGACTAGTGACTAAAGTATATGTGTATATATATTATATTGTTAGTCAATGCCAGCTGTTCCAATCCCTATGCAGGTGATGAGTTGCTTCATCTACAAGGGCTGCAGCTCGACCCGGAGACATCTTGTCAGCTTACTGATGCTCAAAAGCGGGACTTGGCAGGTAATTCGTGACTGAGCCGCAAAGGATTATCACGGTCACTGTATCTTTTACTATGAAGTCGGACATTTGAAATCGGAAACATTGTTCAGTTCAGTTCCGTTCCGTTCCGTTGTTGAAATAAGAAACAAAATGCAGGTTTTCATCAACGGTTTGCTTGGCAGTGACCCTAGCCGTGATCCTGTCTTTGGACTTTTGCACTGATTCAGAGCAAGAAGAGGAAGACCAAGTTGAAGCACTTGTGCGCCAGTCTCCTGGTTAAGTCTCTTCAAAGTTGTCAATGTGTCCTAATGTCTTTTGAGGTCTCTTCACTTATGAACTGTCCAATTTGAATTTGACTTGCTGACCCGTGATTGGTTCAAGTTCAAGTGAAGTTTGGCTATCTCAGGCTGAAGCGTCCACGTCATTGAGATGACAAACAGACGACATATGATGCTGAGGGGAGCTTCTTTTCACTTCGTCTCACCAGATTGTCCAAGTATATCTGCCCGAATTGGACCAAATTTCTGACAATGTAATCGGCGCTTCTTGGACTTGTACAATTGCACTTTGATCTTTGCACCCGTGCAAGGTGGCCAGAAAATAGCTAAATGCTTTGTTGTAGCTTGTGTGGATAACACTGTTCACCCTAGACTGGACCAATACAATTAAATATCTGTTCAGTGCCCTCCTCAAAACATCCTTGGACTAAACCCCTGCACCTTACAACCGCACCCTTCCATCATGCCCCGCACCTCACAACCGCACCTTGCATCGCGCCCCGCACCCAACAACCGCACCTTTGCATCGCGCCCCGCACCTAACAACCGCACCTTTGCATCGCGCCCCGCACCTAACAACCGCACCTTTGCATCGCACCGAGCACCTCATAGGCGCACCCTGGCACTGCGCCCCGCACCTCACAACTGCACCCATACCCCGTAGCCAGTTTGCCAGTCCCTCCAGAGCATGACTCTTGAACTTTGCTAACTTGAATCAGTTGTGTTTGAGCAACAACGTGCATTCTGAAGAAGTCTGCCTTGCGCGAAGCAGCTCCTAAATCCTAAAGGCATTTTTCGTCCCTAACTCTTGAGTTAGAAAAAGCAAACTTGTGGAATGAGCGACGGTGCGTGTCTCAACCTCAGCACAGGTCTGATACACACAGCTGGCACCAAGCAAAAAAAGGGGTAACTGCCTTGTGGAACACCGGGAACACCGGAGTTGAATGTTCATCCGTCCTTTTCAGCGGAAATGTTGACCGGAAATTGGGCATCTTCCTGATGATAAGTCACAAAAAGCGACTCAGGGCCCTCTGTCCTTACAGTAATTTCGCACCATATGGAATTCCGCGGTGGTTGGCCTAGCCTGGGCGCACGGTGGCGCTTTACATTTCCCATTGCCACTCTCACCTCGCACCCTGACCGTGCTGGAATTTGTATCAGAACTCAGGCCGAACGCCTTTGTGTAGAGCCGTGCTTTGGACAAAGTTGGGGCGGAACATAGCGTGGGCACAGCTGTAACAGGGTCAACACGTCGACAGCCTTGACATGCCAGTGGCTGCCTGTGTGCAAGCAGCAGCCCAAGCTCAGGTTCGACGAATGTTTCTGCTGCTGAGTCCTGCGCACTATGAGGACTGGGTTTCTGACTCGCTTAGCTTCCCGTGGCCCCTGAAGTTTTCACATGTTCCTTTAATTTGGAACCTTCTTGTTTCAATTCGGCCATGAGGTGAATTGTGCGACTTTCACAAGCTTTGATTTGCCAGGCGCTGATGGAAGCCTTCAGGGAGTGGAAACTTCCACCGGCCACAGTCATTGTGAAACAGGCTTGAATTTGTGTCAGCGTGCCCCAAAAACCTTCTACCGAAAGGGCCTTTCGTGCCACAAGGGATGGCATGTGAGTCTAGGAACAAGTGCCACGCTAGTAGTAACAGGTGCCTTACTAGTAGAAACAAGAAGC